TGGTGATTGACAGCTGTGATGGAGACACGCAGGACGTAGACTCGTGTGTTTTATCGAACCACTACATGAGATGTTCTGCAGTTTACTGTGTTACTGAGAAGGATTTCAGGGAGTCCAGGTTCATGTTGTAGCTCTCACGCTAAGTGCACAACCAATCAAAAACAGCTGATATGTCGCTAACAGGCAACACGATCAGCAGTCAGTACATGACCTCTGATCACCACGACGTCACCAGAACGTCAGCAGAACGTCAGCAGAACGTCAGCAGCCATTAGTGCAACGTTCAGCCTCTGCTGTTGTCCAGCAGAAGGAAAGTTGTTCATCTTTAACTACAGCCTGCAGAGACACATGGACGCCATCACACGGCCTGGATCATAGCTTCCATGTCTGCAGGTACATGAGGGACATCACATGTCATCAAGACCTCAAGTCCACATGAGTCACAGCAAACCCGTCCACTAACATCAGCCCACAGTTTATCTGCACATGCACGGTGTCCACATCTGTCCACATCTGTCCACATCCACACACAGCATGATCAAGGCTCATCAGCAGTGTACCGTCTTTGAACCATTTTTTTTATCAACACCAGGTCAGTTCAGCCGTTTTCTCACAAAGCCTCCAGCCTTCCTGTGATTCCCGTCATGCAGCCGTGAGCACGACTCACATCTGGTTCAATGTAATCAAACGGTCTGAACACAAACCCAGAGAAGCTCAGTTCTGCAAGTGTGGAGCAAACAAAGGTCACCTCCACGTCCACATACAGCCCCACACGGCAACAAATCCACTTTACCATTCAGCTACAAACATCTGAACTGGTTCTAATGGTGAAAATGAAACGCTGACTTACCCCAGGTAGTGTTTCAGATTCTTTCTTCCAATCGTGGAGCCTTCATTTCAAGTCCTCTCCAGTTTGCAGGTACTCCAGCTTCCTGGTCATGTGACGGGATGCACGTGTGTCCTATCAAAGTAAAACGCCTCCTCCTCAGAGCTCACCGGTAAAACACGGCTTCTGTATTACTGCCTTTTAGTAGAACTGGGGTAAAGTAATTGGAGCCATATGGCAGCACCATGCAACAGAGGGTTAAAGGAATTAAATCGAAAACTAAGGGAAAGCACAAATGAACGGGAAACTGTGCACCTGTCTCTCTCCACACCCAAACTTCATCAATTAACTTAATATTATTTATTTTTAAACGCATTCAATCGAAAGCGGCTATAAGAGATTTAATTATTTAGAGGATAAGAACCAGCTATATGAGGCTCTGAACGCTGTACGAGAGAGGAAGCAGGAGGGAAACGAGCAGGTCTGGTTCTGTAGATCACACATTATGAGTCCATCCCGAGCTGCTGAAGGTCTTCTCTGTTCCTGAGACCAACGTGTTTCACGTCACGTACGCGTCCCTCACAACTTCTGCTGACTTCTGCTTTAACGTTTAAATCCTTCCCTGCTGCCAGAAATAAAGTCAGAGCTCCTCATGATGCCGAGAAATTCTCCGGATTCTTGTCTAATTGCAGAATGCTGCATATTAGGCTGATGAGTTCTAACCCTGGCTTAAGGATCACATGATCGATTACATAACAGCGCGGGCCGGAGCCAAGTTCTGATCCGTTCTCCTGCTTTCCCAACACTGAGACACTTTCAGACCTCCTTTTTTTTTTCAGGCTTGTTAAGTCTTTGTTGTGATGGCACCGGCTGGGAGAAACACATCCACACACACACAGGATCGGATACACACTTGAAATCTGCATTCATAAGGCCCAGACTCCTGTTTCCTTCAAGCCGCCTGTGAAGTGTTAATGTTGGCTGTTGATTGACATCTTCATGAGTACTCTGGGGGCTTCGTGTTCAGCCGAGCATGTATACGTTCTCTAAATATGTCCACCCTGCAGATGTGCATCAGACGCAGAAAAGCACGTTATTGGAATAACTTAGTGTAGGTTTCTCATCAGGGAGGGTTTGTTTTAAATTGTCACTTCAGTTCTGTCTCCACAGAGCGTTTTCACCACTTTGTTTACCCCCCGTACCGTTTGTGGAGAATACGCTTCTCAGGAATTGGACTTAAATACACTTTGCAGCTGGTCAGTGAGAGGTTTCTTTACAGAGTCTGACTTTACAAAAAAATACAAATAAAAATCACACATTAAACTACCCAACGCTGTTTAATTAACTTCACTTTAATATGCATTTAAGCATCAATATGCACGACAACATGGGTGTTATTTATTAGTGCAAACTTCTGCTTCCTTAAATCACATTTAATTTACTTTAAATAAAATATATTTTCTTATTGCATGATGCTGAATGAATCATTTACAAGTGATTTTAATAAATATAAACTCTCCATCTCTTTGTCCTTTAAGCTGCTATCAGCCAAATTTTATGTGTTTTTATTTATTTGCAGTAGAAAAAAAAGATCCTTCACTTGGACAAAAGTACCAACAGAGTAAAGTTCAAATACTTCATGACAGGTAAAGCCGTGTGTGAAAAACAGAAATGAAAAATCAAAGCAGCAAAATGTAGTTAAAATATAAAGTAAAAGTGGTGCTTTGAATGGGATTAGTGGTGAAACTGGTCCGATCAGAATGTGGCTGCAGCAGCAGGTAGCATCACATCAGCTTGTGTTTAGATCTGGTCTGTGCTTTAGTTTTGTGCTTTATTTAGGTGAAGTCAGCAAAAAAACATTTATATTTCAAAAACTACTGTTTGTTATCAGTATTATAATCCAGGTATCAGGTGAGCAGCAGTGGAGGAAGTGTTCAGATCCTTTACTGAAGAAAAAGCAGCAACACAGCGATGAAAAATACTCGATTACAAGTAAAAGTCCTCCTGAAGGCAAAGTGAAGCGTTAGTTATCGTATCAGAGTAAAAGTCCTGTTTGAATGGCACCGACCACCACAGACATGTCACACACTGGAGGGATTTATTTATTCATGTTTTCTCTTTAGCTCGTGCGTAAAATAAAAGTTTTTGGTATGTTTGGTAGTTCAGAGGCCGGTAGTGGTGTTTGGATCATTTACTCGAGTAAAAGTAACTATACAGCAAAGTTACAATGATCCATCATGAGTACATACGCAGCAAAGTGTAGTTCTGCTCTAAGTTTGGGTTTGGTCCGTTTGACTGGTTTAACATCATATAAACATGATGAGATGAATGATGGTGAAGCAGCAGCGTGTTGAAGCTGCTGCAGGTTTGAACTGCTTTAGATCCAGTTTTATACACAGAGGCAGCAGATACGTGACAGGATTAATAAAAAAAAGGGAATTCTGCTCATCAAATCCTTTCAGTTTTTCTCTAATCTTTGTTTTATTGGTGAGATATTGGATCATTTATTGAAATCATGTGAGGAGTTTAGAGAGAAACGCGGCGGCGCTGCTGACTGCAAACATGTTGGAAATGTGTTTTATAAACTTTATATCATGTGTTGTGTAAAAATCTTCATCTTACATACATGTAGTGGAGGAGAAAGTAGAATAAAATGTAGTAGAGTGGAAGTCTGAAGTGGCAGACAGTGGAAATACTCATCTAAAGTACTCGAGTAAATGTACTCAGTTACTCTCCGCCCCTGGTATCAGGAGGTCAGATGATACGTACAGTCAGATACGTTCACCAGCGGCTAAATTTACACACCTGTGAGTCTCAGCGGGTTAAAATTAAACTTTATTTGGCGTTTTGACCTCAGTGGCTGCAGCCGGCCTCCCGCCAGGCGTCTGCTCAGCCGAGGCCTTTATGTGGAAATGGTCTGTTTGCTGGGATTTCTGCAAATATCACAAGCAGATACTGTATCTGCTCGGCCCCCCTTTTCCCTCCCAAATACACCGCGGCGTGCTGTGGCGTCATCCATACGTGCTCTCTGAGAAACTTATCTTGTGTAGCCTGCTAATTTTTTAAAATAAGCTCCAGCGTGAGGCGCCCGGGGCAACAGAGCCGGTGATTCATCAGTCACCATTCTTGTCGTAATTATGATTTCTATTTTGACATCTGGGAAAGTCTTTGAAGTGTGTTTGGTGCCGTGGAGAGCCAGCGAACAGCCAAATGGAGACGCGAGTTTAAAACCTGTTCTGTGCTTGCCAGTCTTCTCTGAGCAATCACCCGTGATACCCACCCGCGGTGAAACTCCGGCGTTCGGCATAAAACGGGATCTTTGTGGTGGCGTTATCGAACACCGGCTGGAAACCTTTTCAGCCGCTGAGCTGAAGCCGCGGCCGCCTGAAAGCTCTCACGCGCTGGAGGCTTCCTGTGCTCTCTGACCCCTTTTGTTTTTTAGGATGTTTCACTTAAAACTCCCCCTTTTTGTTTTTTTTTCATTTCGTGGCCGCGTCCTCCACCGAGCGCCACAGTTAGAGGAAAGTATTAGCCATCTGTGTGGAAAAACCTTTGGTAAGGCTGAGGCAAATACGGCTGATCCGTGTGAAAACAGTGATAATGAGGAAGAGTATTATGCTGGAGTTCCTGTTGTTTGTTGGTGCCTTCACCTCTGTTTGTCAGTGAGTAAGCCATTTGTAGTGTCAGAATGAAGAAATAATGAAGCTTAATGGCGCCTCTCTACTCGGTGACGTGATCTTTTTTCTTCTCTGTGACATGTACTGGTGGGTTTTCTTTTCCTCTCAACACACACAACGGTACACTCTGGCTTTTTATTCATGAAAAAAAAGAGCAGAACATCAAGGGAACGCTGGCCCAGACAGGCTGGCACATATCGAAGGGTGTTAACAGGGTGGTGGTGGAGGGTGGGGGTGGGGGGGTAGTTTCCAAAAGGTGCAGACACCCGGCCTCACCTGGGGTTCACAGCGAGGTCGGGACACCTGTGCTGCTTTATGTCTTAACTTCCTGCCATTACAGGTGTTCACACCTAACATTTATTTATTTCAGATTTCACAGGTGCTTTTTTTTTTTTTCAGACACACTCAGCAGTAGAAGTGGAGATGCAGGAGAAGAGCCCAGGTACAGTCGCATCGAGAGGAAGAGGCACGACAGAATTCAGTTGTGTACGGCGAGCTCTTCGACAAACTTCAAATATATTTACAATAATAAACAATCAATGATTCATAAGATGTGATATTTACAGTTATTACAAATAACACGTGTTCAGTGGCCGCAGCTGAACGAGTCAGGGACCGATATCTCTTAGCAGTAGTTCTTAAAAACAATTCACATTGATTCGTCTTTTGTTCCCAGAGGAGGCGACAGACAGAAAACCCCTCCGGTGGCAAAAGAGTCCGGTCAAGTTAATGCCAAGAAATCTGTGGTACAATACAAACAGTTTAATTGTGTAATTAACAATCAATAACCACTTCTAGTTAGAACATTTCTGCAGAAAGGAGGAACCGAGAAACACTTATAAAACAGTCAGTCGTAACAAAATAACTGGTGTTCTCATCGAAATAAACTCATAAAAAAGAAACACTTTTATACAGGGTATTTATACAGGAGTAGCTTTTTGAATTGGATCGTTAACCAAAGGAAGACACATCGCAGACATCGATTTTCACACAGATTGCATATGTTTTTCTTTCTAAGGTGTTCTATAGGTTAGTCATTTTACCTAAGCTTATTTGCATGATAGTAAAAATTGCATACAACATTAATTGTGAAGCTTGTAGCATGAGTTGCTCGACATACAGCACTTTTTATAGGCAACCTTTAAAGCACATTTCTCCATTTAAAACGTTTAAGACACTTTTTGTTTTTACTGCCCATCGAAATTACATTTATAAATAGAAAAAAGATTGGTGGGAAATTAAAAATAAAAAGCGCTACGGAACATAAACTTTTTTCTTTTGTTTTTTTTTTAAGAAAAGTAATTACATCAGAAACACTGCATGAACTGCAAATAAATAATGTCGGACAACATAAACATTGTGTAATTCACATTTCTAACTGTGTGGCAATTCAGAAAGTTACAGTGACAAAGGTTTTGCAAAATAATCTAACATCGGCAGTGCCGTATAGTACAAGGCATTTGTTGGCATAGTTTCTTTAAGACTGTGTTCTTGTTTTTTTTTTCTTTTTCTTTTCTTTTTTTTTACAGTTACAATATAATGTCTATATATATATATTTATATTTCTTCCCTAACAAATAATATGTAAAGACTGAGCTATTCTCAGAGATGCACCTGGGCTGGGTGATCGCGTTCCAGAGTTTGGAGTGATCCATAATCACATTATGCGCTTTTTAAAAGAATAACTAATCTGCCAGCAGGCTCCAGACTTGATACCTCATAATTAAGGCCTTGTCAACCACTTGGTCCTTGATTTCATTTGCTATTTAAAAAAAAAAAAGAAAAAAAAAAGAAAAAATCCAGTTAAACATCACATACGTAAACACCTATCAAAGTCCTAGCAAACTCCAGGGGAACTTTTTTCTTTTTGAATATAATCAGTAGCTCAAAAAGATAAAGTAAGTCAGTGTAAAACAACAGACATAGAGTGCAGTCAGCAAATATCCACGGCAACATACTTAGAATAATTTTTTGTGCAGATTATTTAAATGATGCATCAGTCTTTACAGTAAATAATACAAGTTTTACAAAATCCAAAAAGTAGTACTTGTTGTATTACTGAGTCTCAAACGGGCTTCCCAGTGTGTGAACACTCGCGTCACATCGCCTCTAAGTCTGATATATATAAACACTCCTCATACAGTCCAGACGCTGTTCTGATTGAAAACACTACTGTTCTGTGTTTGCAGTGTGGTGGTGGTTCTGTGTCGGCCAGAGCGTTACATTTAGCACAGTCATCAGTCTGTGTGTGCACAAGAAAGCTCTCTGCTTCAGACGGGGGGAGTCTTACTCCTTGGCCTCGTGCTCCGACTCCGACTGGGCCTCGGCGCCTCGGCCCAGCTGCTCCTCGATCTTGATGGAGAAGATGGTGCTGTTGGTCTGCGTGCTCTCGTCCAGCTCCTTCAGCAGCTCTCCGCTCTCCCTGAAGTCCGTCAGCTCCTCCTCGAACGCCGGGCTGCTGCTGCTGCTGCTGCTGCTGGTGTTGGTGTTGGTGGTGGCGGCCGTGCTGCTGCTGTTGTTGTTGTTGTTGTTGTTGCTGGGCTCCTTGGGCGCCTTGGCTGGGTGATTGACGTAAAAGCGCTGGTTCTGGAAGAACTTGATGATGGTGAGCTTGGGCAGGTCCAGCTGGGCCGACAGCGTGTGGATGGCCTCCTCGTCGGGGTACAGGCCCACGTCCTGGATGAAGCTCTGCAGGATGCCCAGAGCCTCCAGGGAGATCTTCCCTCCGCCGGTGCGGGACTTGAGGCTCCCTCCGCGGCTGCCATCATCCTCCGTCTCGGCCGGAGAGGCGGTGGAGGGCTGGCGAGGCGGCAACCGGGGGCCGGTGGTGGGCTGCTGCTGAGGCAAGGGCTGCTGGGATAGAAGGGGCTGGGAGGGGTGCAGGGACAGGGAGGGCTGGTGCTGCTGCTGGGACTGAGGCGGCTGAGCCTGGAGAGAGAGAGAGAGGAAAAAAAGAGGGGAAGAGAAAGGAGATGGGGATGTTATCAGTGAACACTTATCGGCGCCTTAATAAGGCCTTTCATTAAAATCAATTGAGTTGTGAGCAAAATGGGCCTGCTGTGTGTAGAGCAGCCACTTGGTTGAAGGAATGTTCCATGTAATATCTTATTGAATGTAATCAGTTCTGCAGATATGGGTTTTTTTCTTCTTCCTTTTTTGGTAGTGAGAGATTGTGTCTCTCATTGTGGGGGTAGAGGCAACACCAGCACACACACACACACACACACACACACACGGAGGGAAAAGACACACTGGGCCCTACACATGGTGGGAACTCACTGGGAAACTGGCCTCTCTATTATATCCTCTGCTGCTTATCAGGCTCTATTGCCAGGCAGTGATAAACAAGCTCCCTGTGCACAATTCACGTTGCGATGGTCTGGCCGATTTGCCGCAGTGTGAGAATGCTATCGATGGCTTTCAGTCCGCCGTCAGAGTCCCGTTAGTGTAAACACATGACACATTACTCGTAAAATGTCTCATTGTGTGGTTGGAGAGGGAGTGAGTGGGCAACTCGTGGTCCCTATTGACCCCGCAAAATGGGTGCTCTTTTATTTTCATTTCTGAGTCAGACACTGTAGATAGGTGTTTCATAATGAAGTTTGCAAAACAGCACTTTGCAGGGACTCTGCTTGCCAGCTGCATAAATGCACCCAAAGATGTGATTTTACTGTACCAATATACTGAGCTGTGATTGTTCTTGTTGAGCAAATGTGAGCTAATTTGGCTAATGTATCACGTTAGCGAGAGAGCGGCGCAAAATATTTAAACACTGGTCTCTTATGGACAGTGAAAAACTGCACCATTAAATCAGAAATAATCCTATTTTATCAATCTGCAACCATTTCTGTTTGCATGCAAAGTATGCACAAAATTCCCCCATTCCATATCTGCTGCTGCTGAAACTGATTTGTAAAAGAAATCCTATTACCTTATTTATATCCAGTAAATGACAGTCTTTGTGAAACGCTGGCCGTGTATCCCAGTAACCAAATAACTAATCAACTACTCAGCTGTGGCTCAGACTTTTAATAGAAGTATTATTGTACTTCATTAAGATGTTTCGACCGTTAACCGAGCCTGTGTGTTATTTTCTATTCATCTGCCAGATGTCTCTTATAAAGCGGCTCTGTTAAATAAGTTCAGCCTAATGATATCTTTGAAAATGGCTTTTGCTGAAAAGTAAGAACTTTGAAGTGTTGCTGTGTTTCTAATTTACAAGTCTTCATAAAAACTAAGTGTTGTTTATTCAAATTCCTGGGAAATTCGTTAAGAATAAATGAAAGGGGGGAAATTGCGTGCTTCGTTTGTTTGTTTCTCGCACAGACGTTTAGGAAAAAGGAACAAATATCGGTTTTATCAGGACAGCTTTGGATGATTTATCGATTAGAAAAATCCTTACAGATTCGTTTCCACTGATCAATAACATCAATAAATAAATAAGCGGCAGCTTTTAGGGGAACCTGACGGCCCAGGACGTCACTGAGCAGCTGGTTGGATTCATGACTGGGAAACGTTTGCTGCCCACATTTAGTTTCTCTCTGTGCTGCCACTGGAACATTAGAGCATAAAAACGCCTCAAACATCATCTACAATAAAAATAAATGTAGGTTCTGTGTGCACCTCTATCCAGCGTCTAACCTACACGTCACATATCAGCTGCTGTTTGCCTTTTTTTAAAAAATGTTTTTGTGTTTTAGAAAATATAACTTTAGTGTTTTTTTTTTTTCTATCATTAACTGTTTAACCCGATGCTCCCTGAACGCCGCCGTGCTCACCTGTAGCTGGTCGGTGGAAACGTGGATCAGGTGCGACGGCCTCTCGTTGTGGTGCTGCTGCCCGGCGCTGCTCTCCTGCTCGTAGATGGCGTCGCGCTCGGCCTGAGAGAGGCTCAGGAAGCGTCGGATCATGGAGAGGTTCTCCCAGAGCGTCCGGTTCTCCGGAGACGGGTCCTCCTTCCAGCGCAGCAGCTCGCAGAGCCAGCCCTGAAAACCAGGAGAGAGGCGGAGCGGATCAGTCAGATGTGGTCTCTCCAGAAGGTTTCAGATTCACATTTACAGCACCGAGTACAGAAACGGACTCACGGCGTCTTTAAAGCTCCTGCTCTGGGTGTTAAAATAGGTGGAGTGGAAATAACACAGAGAAAAGTTGCTAATTAGGGAAGCATAAAGAAAAGAGCCACCATTTCTAATGACTTTCCAGAAACACCTTCATTATGAGAATAAACAAAATGAAACACACAAAGCACGGCGCGGCTGCACAACGGGTGCACCTGCAGTCACTGTGCTTCTCCTCCGCAGCTGAAGATGAAGATGTGAATTAGCCAAGGTCAAGCAGCACAGCAGGAAGGAACAATTTAACGTGACAAGAAACACACACTCGCATATTGAGCAGCACCCTCGGGAGGCAGCGAGCGACTCCCATGTTTGAAATGCTCCAGCAGAGGGCCATGAAAGACAGAGCTGAGGAAACAGGACGGGACAATTACAAGCCAAAATGCTTTATTTCATAAATGCAGCGTGCGGCGGGGCTCAGCTTGTTCATTAAAGGATTCACCATGAGGTCGGGACACGGAGAGGGCAGCACAGGAGGCAGGAAGACCAGGAGCTTCATATACGCTTCATGAGGAGTGCATTAGAACAGGAAGTGAAACAAAGATCCTCCCAGAGTCAGTGAAAAAGATCTAATGAGACGTTCTGCTCTACATGGTAGCTTTATGTGTTAAAAGCTGATCAGTAACGATAACATATGAAACCTGGGATGTAAAATGTTCAACGGTTTCTTCTTCTAACAGATTTTTGTTGCTGTTTGATTCATAATAAAAAGATTTTCTATGAAATGTTATAATAATTGAAAGTTGTTTGTTTTACGCTGTTGTGACATGTTACAGACAACACAATTAACGAGTCGCTTCAGAAAGTAGTAGCTAATTAATCGTTCGTTAACATAGATTTCAGCCCTCTTACGTTTCTGAGCACTTTTTTTATTTTTATTTTTATTTTTACAGCTTCTGATGGAGCTCAGGATGAGAGTAAAATCTAAGTTTAGGCGTGAGAGGAACACACACAGCCACAGTTAGAGTAATTAAAATGTGTGTGTGTGTGTGTGTGTGTGTGTGTGTGTGTGTCACGACTGCTCAGACAGAAGGGCTCCGTCGGGGCTGAGTGACGTGGTCGGACGTGACGACCTGAACCTCGGCGGTCCGAGTGAGTAAGAGCGAAAGGGAATAACGCG